TGGCGGGCGCCTGTAGTCCCAGCTACTCGGGAGGCTGAGGCAGGAGAATGGCGTGAACCCGGAAGGCGGAGCTTGCAGTGAGCTGCGATCCGGCCACCGCACTCCAGCCTGGGCGACAGAGCGAGACTCCGTCTCAAAAAAAAAAAAAAAAAAAAAGTGTTTTCTGCTAGCGCCAGGGTTGGAGGAGGGCAGGTTAGAGTATAAATGCGGACCCCTTTCAACCTTGGGGAGACTGGGTGACTGGAGCCCCAGGGCAGTGAGTGTTTTGACTGTGGGAGTGTAATATACAAATATTTCCATTTTCTGTGAGCCATGTTGTAAAACGATTGGGAAATACAGAACTGTAGCACAGGATCTAGTCAAAGAAAAAAGGGTCTCTCCAAACCAAGAACTGGGAGAAGTCTATATTATCCATCTTTGTGGATTGGGAACTGTTTTGGGACTTTCTGTTTAAGATGGGGTCTTGCTATGTTGCCAAGGCTGGGCTCCAACTCCTGGCAAGGGATCCTCCCATCTCATCCTCCCAAGTAGCTGAGACTACAGGCACATGTCACTGCACCTGGCTACAAGACCTCCTGTTTATTTTATTTTATTATATATATTTTTTGAGATGGAGTCTCACTGTGTTGCCCAGGCTGGAGTGCAGTGGCATGATCTCAGCTCACTGTGACCTCTGCCTCCTTGCTTCAAGCGATTCTCCTGCCTCAGCCTCCTGTGCAGCTGGAATTACAGGTGCCGGTCACCATGCCTGGCTCATTTTTATATTTTTAGTAGAGACAGGGCTTCACCGTATTAGCCAGGCTGGTCTCGAACTCCTGACCTCAAGTGGTCCACCCACCTCAGCCTCCCAAAGTGCTGGGATTACAGGCCTGAGCCACCTCGCCCAGCCAGGACCTCCTGTTTAAATCAGGTCCTGTCGTTTTCCACCTCTTTTTGGCGAGGTCTTGAGCTTTCAGGTGAGTTGGCCATACCAGGTGCCTTGACTGGAGATGAGGCCTTGTCAGCCTAATTTCAGGAACAGGTGAACATCATGCACTTGCAGCTGTGTTTTTCTCCCGACTGGCAGCTACACACCTTTCCTTTCCAACCATCCTGCCTGAGAGTTTAAGTGCATGTTATCTGTGGGACCTCGTGCAATCCAGTTTTCTTATAGAACTACATGCTTACGTGAGCATTCTGTTCCCCAAATATATAACTCCACAATTTCCATGCTCTCTCCAACTGTTGCAGTCTTTTGACATCTTGCTAGATCCCTTACTAGCAAATTAACTCATTTCGACTCGGAGAGCCCTGCCAGTTGAAGGGCAGCTGGGAAGAAACCCAGGACCAGGAACCTTTCCAGAAGGTGCAGATCAAGTGGAAATGTTGCCAGGAGGCCACGAAGAGCCAGGGATTCGTGGCTGACCAGGACTCTTCCTCACCACCAGGGCTTCCAGCTCACAGCATTTAAGGGGTGTGGGCTGGCCTAGAGAAAGCAGGAAGACAGGGGCCCCCTGGCAGGCAACAAGGACCAACTGAGGGCCCGGCATGGTGGTTCATGCCTGTAATCCTAGCTGCTCAGGGGGCTGAGGCGGAGGATGGTGTGAGCCCAGGAGTTCGAGACCAGCCTGGGCAACACAGTGAGACCCCATCTCTACAAAAAAATTTAAAAATTTTCCAGGCGTGGTGGTGCGTGCCTGTAGTCCCAGCTACTTGAGAGGCTGAAGCTGGAGGATCAACTGAGCCCAGGAATTCAAGGCTGCAGTGAGCCATGATTGTGCCACTGCACTTCAGTGTGGGCAACAGAGCCATACCCTGTCTCTTTGAAAATAAAATGATGAACTTGTAACCACCTAATGGGTTCACCTTGCCCACTGCCTAGACAGAGCCAATTTATCAAGACAGGGAATTGCAATGGAGAAAGAGTAATTCATGCAGAGCCGGCTGTGCGGGAGACTGGAGTTTTATTATTACTCAAATCAATCTCTCCGAGCATTCAAGGAACAGAGTTTTTAAAGACAATTGGGCGGGCAGGAGCTTGAGAAGTGGGGAGTGCTGATTGGCCAGGTCGAAGATGGAATCAGAGGTTGTCCGTGTTTTTCTTGCTGTTGTCTGTTCCTGGTTGGGATGGCAGAACAGGTTGAGGCAGATTATCGGTGTGGGTGGTGTCAGCTGATCCACTGAGCTGATCCAAGGATTGTTGTCTCATGCTTCCCTAAAATGTATAAAACCAAATGAGGCAGGAAAATAGGGTCTGGAGACAGGGAACATAAGGCCGATTCACACTTCAGCTATAACGGGAAATATCGTCTCCATAGGGCATACACCCAGCAAATGACTTCATAACTTTACTGCACCGTCTTCATTTACATCGGGCATACTCCAAGCAGAGAGTATTTAAATTCACGAAAATTCTGTAACGGGGACTTTGAGCCCCTATGCTCAGGTCCGCTCCCGCGCTGTGGAGTGTACTTTTGCAATAAAACCCTTTATTCCTCCCTTGCTTTGTGTGTGCGTTTTGTCAAATTCTTTCTTCAAGACACCAAGAACCTGGACACCCTCCAACTTTAACACAAGCTGTGCCCCGACCACCTCTGGCAAATGTCATTAGGACTTCCTGTGTCAGGGGCGCATGTCCTCAACCTTGGTGAATTTTTTTTATTTTTTTTATTTTTTGAGACAGAGCCTCACTCTGTCACCCAGGCTGGGGTGCCGTGGCCTGATTTCAGCTCACTGAAACCTCTGCCTCCCGGGTTCAAGCGATTCTCCTGCCTCGGCCTCCCAAGTAACTGGGATTCCAGGCATGGGCCACCATGCCTGGCTAATTTTTCTATTTTTAGTGGAGACGGGGTTTCACCATGTTGACGATGCTAGTCTCCAGCTCCTAACCTTATCAGGGGATCCGCACGCCTCGGCCTCCCAAAGTGCTGGGATTACAGGCCTGAGCCACCTCGCCCTGCCGGCAAAATAAACTCTCTGAATGAACTGACACCTGTCTCACATTTTCAGGGTTCACAGGCTTTTATCAATTTTGTTTCAGAGTCAAACCATGGACTGAATTCCTTCCCAAAGTTAGTCGGGCTTCCGCCCAGGCATGAACAAGGACAGCTTAAATTAGAAGCAAGATGGAGTTGGTTAGGTCTGATTTCTTTCACCATCACAATTTCCTCAGTTACAATTTTGCAAAGGTGGTTTCCAACGGACTGAGCCGCGCGCGGCCCCTCTACCCCTCCCAGGAACAGGCGAGTGTCCTTGGGGCCTGGGGGTTCCTGCTAGCGGCAAATGAGCGAATCACGCTACCCCAAGC